CCCTCAACGCGACTGTCTCACTGTCTCTCCTCTCACAGGCTTGTAAAGTCCTCTCAGCACAGAAGCGTCGCGAGTGTGTGGATACATGGATCTGTGTGTGATTGTGCTGTTGTCTCTATGCGGGCTTCTGCGGGGCCAAGGTGAGTTTACCTCACAACTCTCTTAAAATGCGTTTATCCAGCGTCTCGTGAATAAAACGGTGTTGTGACATCTCACTTCTGATGTGAGCGCGTGCTCGTGTGATGTCCGTCTGATACCTGCATTTGACGAATCAGGTTAAATATGTTTTCTCAGGTTGCTGTTGTAAACATTTGTTTAAACTTCTCTAGAATGGAAAATAAGATAAAAATAGTATAGTATAGTATAATATAAAACACTATATAGCCTAGTATATAAAGTCACGTGGTACATTACAAAAAATATTGGTTACACTTTATTTTAAGGTGTCATTGTTACAATGTAATTATACATTTAAGTACTGAGTAATACTAATTAACAACATGTACTTACTATAGGATTAGGATTTGGTTGAAGGTTAGTTTCACGTAATTATGTAATGCATAATTTACTGTTATTACTATGGTAAGTACATAATGTAACAAGGAGAATGTAATATAAAGTGTTACCAAAACATATATATATATAATACGCCTTTGTATAATAAAACTTCAAATGAGTAACTTGCTGATCTCTTAATTAAAGGGTTGTGCTCCCAAAACTATAATTTACCGCAGCTGAAGTGTTTTATTCTGAACAGATACTGTACGGTAGTTGAGAAGTATGAATATGCAGATTAGGGGGGGTGGTCTGTGTTGCAGGAACCAATCAGCTGTTGCTTGCCTGTGCCACTCTGTCTATGAAGCAGTGCAGAGAAACAGTGTCATGGCATTTGCTTTGAATGATGAAAGAATAAGCCAGAGCAAGGTTAACCGGGTCATGCTAACCTTACAGGACTGCTAGTGTCTAATACTCCTTCCTCACACGTTCATGTCACCGCACACATGTGGTTTACTGGTGCAGGTCATAATTCAGAGCCACAAACTGTTTAACAGTGGCTTGACTAGGTGTTTCCACACACACTAGTGCTGTTCTTAGCTCACTTTTAAGAGGATTTTATCTCGGTTTTTATTGGGCTTTAGAAAGTTTCTCAGTAACACTTTAATTTACTGTGTACTTGTTACACGTAGTTACTGTAGTTATAACTGTAAATTATGCATAATTACATGCAACAAACCCTAAACCAAATCCCTAAAGTAAGTATGTAGTTAATTATTATTACACAGTACTTAAATGTAAAATTACAGTGTAACACATGGACACCTTAAAATAAAGCGTAACCAGTTTCTCTTACAGAAACAGCTGAATTTTTTTTTTTTTTTACTGATATTTACTGTACATCATAGCTATAATAATCCACATGCACATTTCTTTTTTAATTAAAATTATTAATGTTCTTCTTCTGGGTGACTTGTTTGATTTACTTGATTATAATTTAAAAATAAATAAAATTGTATTTATTTAAATAAATCACATTTACATTTATTTAAAAAAAAGAATACTTCAGTATTTATTTATTTTTATTGAATTGAACTGTGGTTCATTGTTCTCTATAAAATACTTTAAATCACAGCTATAACAAACCGACTGCACATTTCTTTGTTAATAAAATTAATACGATAACTGGTTTAACTTATTTTATGTACTGTATCATTTAAATTTTTTCTTTTTTACAAATTGCATTTATTTATTTTAATAAAGCACATTTATTTAAATACAATAATTAATATTTATGTAAATAAATTAATATTTTTTATTCATTTATTGGTTTGAATTAAAAACTGTGGTTTATTGTTCTCAAATAAAAAAAGTGTATTCATCTAATTTATTTGATGTAACTTTTATCATTTAAAAATAAATAAAATTGCATTTATTTATTTTAATAAAGCACATTTATTTAAACAAATCAATCAATATTCATGTAAATAAATTGATATTTTTACTTTTTACTTTTTACAATTTACTGTTCTCAGATCAATAAAAAAGTGTGTAGAAATGACTGCTTAAAAACCCCATTTGGTGTTTCGATTACTGTGCAAACCTGAAGTAAAAGAGCCCAAAACACTCATCTGCCAAAAATATTCTGCGTTTTGGCAGATGAAGGAAACCACAGGGAAATTAATGATCTGTTTGATCCAATTGAGTCCACTTGCGTCAGCTGATGGTTGTTTGGAAATGTTTTGGACTAGTTTTTATGGCCTTTAATCTCTGGGAGAGACTCAGACGTGTTTAACGGAGTTGAGCTGCGCTTCAGCGAGTTACTTCATCCGCCAGACACTAAACATTATTCAGCATGAGTGGAAAATGGCTTGTGGGAAAAAACAAACAAGGGAGATGCAATCCAGACAGCTGTGAGCGGCATATCAAGACAAGATACTGATTGTGCAAGCCGAGCAGAACAATGACTACGTCACAATGATGATTAAAAACAAATAAATCAATGAATAAACACACAGACATCATCAGATTAAAAGTAGTCCAGCTAAAAATGATGTGTTTTCCAGTACAAATATCTTAACATGCTTAAAACAAGATTCCTTTACTTGAGATGCTAAATGACAAGATATTACGGCTCATTTTATGGAAATGAATGAATGAAAATGAAGCGAGTTTTTGCTGAAAACAAGAACAAATATCTGCACCATCCGGAAAGTGGGCGGGGCCATGAGCTACGCTCATGAATATTAATTATGTGCTGCCCTGATTTGCCGAAAGACAGACCTTGGGTAGGTAGGTGGGAGAATAGAATGGAAAAGAATAGAATGGGATGGAATAGAATAAAATGGAATAGAATAGAATAGAATGGGGTGGAATAAAATGGAATAGAATAGAATGGGATGGAATGGAATAAAATGGAATATAATAGAATAGAATAGAAAGAATAGAATGGGATGGAATAAAATGGAATAGAATAGAATGGAATAAAATGGAATATAATAGAATAGAAAGAATAGAATGGGATGGAATAGAATAGAATGGGGTAGAATAAAATGGAATAGAATAGAATGGGGTGGAATAAAATGGAATAGAATAGAATGGGATGGAATAAAATGGAATAGAATAGAATAGAATGGGGTGGAATAAAATGGAATACAATAGAATGGGAATGGAATAAAATGGAATATAATAGAATAGGATGGGATGGAATAAAATGGAATAGAATAGAATGGGATGGAATGGAATACAATGGAATATAATAGAATAGAAAGAATAGAATGGGATGGAATGGAATAAAGTGGAATAGAATAGAAAAGAATAGAATGGGGTGAAAAAAAATGGAATAGAATAGAATTGAATAGAACGAGGTGGAATAAAATGGAATAGAATAGAATGGGATGGAATGGAATAAAATGGAATATAATAGAATAGAAAGAATAGAATGGGATGGAATAAAATGGAATAAAATAGAATGGGATGGAATGGAATAAAATGGAATATAATAGAATAGAAAAGAATAGAATGGGGTGGAATAAAATGGAATAGAATAGAACGGGGTGGAATAAAATGGAATAGAATAGAATGGGATGGAATGGAATAAAATGGAATATAATAGAATAGAAAGAATAGAATGGGATGGAATGGAATAAAGTGGAATATAATAGAATATAATAGAATAGAAAAGAATAGAATGGGATGGAATAAAGTGGAATATAATAGAATAGAAAGAATAGAATGGGATGGAATGGAATAAAATGCAATATAATAGAATAGAAAGAATGGGATGGAATGGAATAAAGTGGAATAGAATAGAATAGAAAAGAATAGAATGGGATGGAATGGAATAAAGTGGAATATAATAGAATAGAAAATAATAGAATGGGATGGAATGGAATAAAATGGAATAGAATAGAAAATAATAGAATGGGATGGAATGGAATAAAATGGAATAGAATAGAATAGAAATGTGTGCAAACCACGTATCACAACCAGACACGTTATCTCCTCCCTAATTAAAGTAAATGCTCTGAAACTGAGTAAAAACGAAAGGCCCCAGGCGGGACCGGGTCTCCCACCGAGCGGCCAGGACGAGTCGTTATTCTTCGCCGCAGGGTTTGGGGCAGTAACATTTTTAAGGGGGTTTTCCATGTGCCGTTCATCCCTAATTGGAAAGAGGTCATGCCAGCATCTGAACAGTTCAGGGTGTCTACGCCGACCTTTAATGTCCGTTACCTTACAGAGAAACTCAACATTCAGCATATCACAGATTAAAAGGGGAGCAAATGGAAACTGAAATCTATAGAAATATATTGATTTACATTTAAAATAATGCAAAATACAGTTTTTTTTCATGGCTGGAAAGAAATAAGGGTTACACTTTATTTTAAGGTGTCTGTGTTAAAGTTTAATTATACATTTACTGAGTAATAATAATTAACTACTAGGGTTGAGGGTTTAGTTGCATATAAATATGCATAAATTATCATTATTACTATAGTACCTAAATGTAACACGTGAAACACGGACTCTGTAAAATAAAGTGTTCTTGACTTAACCACCATTTTGCATTTGGCAATAAATAAGTACATTTTTGGACCCTGTTCTCTTATGCTTTGCCAGCCATAGTGTCAAATCTAGCGCTCATGATCGAACCACAAACCAGAGACTGTGCCAGAGATGAGCTAGTAAGAACGCTGATTCATTATAATCATGATCTGAGCAGAGCAAGTCACGGCAAACCCCGTTTTAACACTGCAATCTAGTCAGACAGAGCCAGAGATGCTCAGACAGATCATTAACAACCTAAAACGCTTCAAATGTGTCGTAAAATGTAACAAAACTAGTAAAACTTTATTTATTTAACCTGGCAAGTCACTTAAGAGAATTAAAATCTCCTGAAAGACATACTAACATATCACAATACACACACACACACACACACACACACACATATAAATTCATTTAAAACATTCACAACCCGTGATAAAAACATTCCCTAATAGTTTTTTAAATGCAGAGATTGAAATAAAAGACGTTTGTAGCACATTTCAATCATTTGGAGCAGCGAAACCAAAAGCAGAGCGACCATAGATTGTTTTTTTTTTCTTTTTTAGGGATAATCAAATGAATATATATATATATGATTAGATGATCAGGTTGAGTATGTACTAACATGTGGTTGCAGCAACTCTTGCAGATATTTGGATAAATTAGACTAGCCGTCTCAAGTCAAGTTGTCAGTTACAGGCTTTTAACTGTAATCTGCATCTGTGTGTGTGTGTGTGTGTAATGTCCTCAGATCCCGTCTCGCTGGACGACTGCTGTAAGGATGGCAAGGACAGAGGTCAGGAGTCTCAGGACTGCACGAGTCTGCCGCTCATCTCTGAATCCACAACCTGCAGGTTTGAGCCACGACTTCAACATTTCCACAGCAAATGCGTTAAACAGCGACGAATCGGTTCTTTAGTTCAGCCGTCTAAACAAAAGCAAACAGAACCCATTATAGTCAGTGATGCTGTCTACGCAAACGGATCAAGTGCAATAAAATAACACTTTTTTGCATGTTTTCTTTCCACTGGTCTAAAAATCTCCCCAAAAACTGATTAGTGCATGAAAAAACAATAGTTTTGCCGGTAGTGTCGCGTTATAGGCATCATTTGTTTCCTGGCAAAAACCTGTGCATGCATCCAATCAGATTGGAGCATGCAATTATGGGTTAAAACAGGCCATAATATGCCCTTGATGTGTTTCAGGCTCTACTAGAACAGGTTTTCCTGCTTGAATGTTGATTATTCTCCTCATATTCTCCATTGTTGCGGCTCCTCTCTTCCCAGTCTGTCAGTAACGCTCTGTTTACTGTGGCTACGTTCACACTGTCAGTCCAAATCCGGTTATTTGTGTATCCGATCTAAAATTATTGACGTCTACACTGTGTAGATCCGATTTGTGTGTTCATGCATCTCCGTTTTCCGGAATATCTGCATTGGGTTCGACGTTGCGTTGGTAGGAATACGCCAAAAACAACAACAACAACCGCAACATGGAGGGGTTTCCAATAGAGATGCTGTCTTATTTAAATTGTACAACATTACAATGTGTAGCCAGCAGAACCGGAGGCTGGTATTTATCCACGCTGGATCCTCCATCGGTTTACAAACATGTCTCCGTTATATTGCCATTTTCTGCTCGTCCGGCACTTTGGAACAACACAGCATTGTTTTCCTATAATAACGTCTGACGTTTACATTTTATGTGGCGTGAGAAAGTCACATAAACCACATGAAATCCGATCAGATCAGTCAGACTGAAACGGATTTTCAGAAATGCGATTTGAATAGGATTTCAAACCACATATGGATGTAGCTTGAAACGGATTTGAAAAAATGTGATTTTTTGCCGTTCACACTTGCTAAATCTAAACGGATTTCAATCGGATATGCACAAAAATTTGGACGCATTTGGACTGACGTAGCCTATGAAGCCCCGCCTTCTGAAAAGCACACTGTGCTCTGATTGGTCGGCTGGAGCAGTGTGCTCTGATTGGTCGAGCGCTTCGAGTGTGTTTGGGAAATGTCCCGCCCCTTTCCATAACCGCCAGTTTAACACACTACTAACTAACTCAACCAGGCCCCGCCCCTTTATTATGCGTATGAATTATTATAATGAGGAATATTGTGACGTGTTCGTTCCCGGGAGAAACTCAAGACTACAATGGAGGCGTTTCAGAAACACTGACACTGATATAGAGAACAGGGTGGCCCGCAGGTCCTTAAAATGTTTTAAATAAAGTTTTCCTAATAAAAGGCCTTAAAAAGGTTTACAATGTCTTAAATTCAGATTCGATGGGTCTTAAATATTTCTGGTCACATTACCGCTAAAATGTCACAACGTCCGTCAAATAACCAGCGAAGCATCGAATCGCGAGAATGATTCTGATTTTATTACATAAACAGCGATTGATAATGATCATGTGTTTCTGGTAGCGCTGTTGAGACTCGCCTGTCTCTGTGAGAGACTTTATAGTGAGAAATCAAAACAAACGAGCATAACAGCACACATCATAACTCACAGAACAAACATACTGAGTTGAACATTCACAATGTGGAGTTTTTTTATTTATAACATATGATATAGTTGAGTAACATAACATGACGGGAGCTATTTTGCTGAATATTCTCACGATTGCAAAATGTAACATTGATTTTAGTTCAATAAACAAGTAGTTAATATTAAATTAGGTTAGACATTAAATATTACATATACGTTTGTAATATAATGTGTATTTCCATCACAGGTTTGGTCTTAAATTTCATTCAAAGTGGCATTAAAAAGGTCTTAAATTGAACTTTTTTATATCTGTAGACACCCTGAGAGAAGAGCGTTTGCATGCTCAAACAGCAACATTACACACTAGAGAAAGATGAACATGGGGAAAAAGCAGAATAGTTCCTCTTTAAAATATCAGATCAGATCAATGCATCATTGGGAGAAGTGGTTTCGACTGTGATGGTGAGATCGGCGCTCGGTCTCAGTGCCAGTCAGGCGTCACATGTGCTTATCTTGGCCTTCAAAGCGATCTGGAGTTTGTCTAAATGAGAAAGTGCAAGAAAAAAGTGGTGATGTTTGGATATTTTTGGGTAGGTGGGCTTGCAAAAATGAGACTAACTCAAATCCAGGAAATTCCACTGAGGTGAAACTCTAGTCAGACGGAGAAGAGCGAAAGCGACCCGAATAACAGGAAATCTGCAGATTATTGCAGACACAGAGAAAGGGGGAAAACAAGTCCAGAAAAGCGAAAGGAGAAATCTTGCAGAGGATTCCTGCCTTAAAAGGGGCTTCGGGGAGGAAGATGCACGAGCGTCTCTGCCAGGATGGATGGGCTGATTGTGAAAGAGAGTGAAGCAAGAGCGAACGAGACAAACAGTCGTCGTTTTACCGTAAAAACCGGCCCGTGCGTCAGTGCTGGATCAGAACCAGACAGCCATGCTCTCGCTGGAAAGTGCTCAGGAAGCAGAGTTCATTTCATTAAAGTGAATTCAAAGGAACTTTGAGATCTGAACACACTTGAAAAAAAACTTTCTGTATTGTTTCCAGTGCACATTAAATCAAGATACATTTACTTGAGATGCTAAATGATTTAAGATATTACGTTTTATTTTCATTGCGATGGATTTTTTTCCTTAGAGAAGCTCCTTATAAACATGCTTTAGCTCACAAACCTGAGTGACTGGTCCTGATCAATGGCACTCACTGAACATATAATCTATAATCTGTTGATTCCCAGCGCTGGCCGGCTGACCTGACCATGTGTGTGTGTGTGTGTGTGTGTGTGTGTGTTTTGTAGGATAGCTCAGGAACAGTGTTGTGCGACGGTTCTTGACGACAACATCTGCACCATCGGGATCAACATGGCGAAGGACCAGGGCAGTTGCGACAGCCTCTTGTCCAGCAGCACATGTGAAACCAAGACGTCCAAGGTGTGTGTGATCTCTCGCCGCACGCATATTTATTTATGCGTGTTTAATGATTTTATGCAGAATCATAAATTTATATATATTTACACGCACACACGGCACACACACACACACACGCACACACACACTCTCACACACACACACACACACACACACACACACACACACACACACACACACACACACACACACGCATGCATGCACACACGCACACACTCTCTCTCTCACACACACACACACACACACACACACACACACACACACACACACACACACACACACGCACACACACACACACACGCACACACACTCTCTCACACACACACACACACACACACACACACACACACACACACACACACACACACACACACACACACTCACACACACACACACACACACACGCACGCATGCACGCACACACACTCTCACACACGCACTATCTCTCTCTCTCTCTCTCTCACACCTCACACGCACACACACACACACACACTCTCTCTCTCTCTCTCTCACACACACACGCACACACACTCGCACACTCTCACACACACACACACACACACACACACACACACACACACACACACACACACACACACACACACACACACACACACACACACACACACACACACTCAAACTCACACACACTCACACACACTCACACACACACATTACCTCATTAACACACACTCACACGCGCACACACACTCACACGCGCTCACACACACACACACACACACACACACACACACACACACACTGCAGCTCACTTAGGCTAATGGAGCCAATGTGTCTTCACATCGTTTTATCATTTAAAATCACAACAAACTTCTTTTGGAGAAATGTTTACCTTATAAAGTGTATGTCTCTTTGAAATATACGAGACCTGTGTTGATACTCCGTATCATGAAAAGGCAAATATTTTCATGTGAAATGTAAGTGTCAGAGTACATGTTGGGTCAGTGTTCTTGTCGGTGCACTTGTGTGTGTGAGACTCTCAGATCACAATAAGATGATGAATGTGTTTTAAAGCAGGAACTCTAGAGATCGAGGGGTAAAAATAGAAGTCTTTCTCTCCGCTCTGTTTACACTGAGCAAGAGGGAACTTGCCCAAATCACAAGAGTGGAGGCCGTTCCTGTCAGACGTGTGTGTGTGTGTGAGAGAGAGAGAGACTGTGAGTGTGTGTGTGGCGTAATAAATCCCTCACAGGCTCTCCGCCAAACCTCAGCATGAAGAATAGAGCCTTTAATAATACACACCTGAGTGTGTTTCAACATTACTTCTAGGAAACATTCATCTCGGCCTGTCACTGGGACTCGATAGTGACTGTTAAAGTGCCTGTCAGACTATTGCTCTACTTTATTTATGTGTTTATCACGAACCCGGAGCATAATTCATCTCGAACCGTTCAAGGCAGGTATTAGATGATCTGATGGCAAGTTTAAGCTCTTTAAATCACCAGATGTGTGTGTGTGTTTCCTCTAAAACGCAAGAGGAGCCTTTTCTGGTACGAGCTTTCAGTTCTTAGAAGAAACTTTACTCAAACTGTTTATGGACAAAAGATGCATGTGCATTTGATAATTCACACAAAAATTCACATTCTCATCATTCAACACATCTTTCTCTCGCGGGTCAAAATGACCCAAAGCCCTAAAATTATACTTTGTTTTTTTTCTTTATTTAATTTTTTATAATATTTTCTGTTTTTAATGCAATTTTTTTTCTTTTTTTCTTTATATTACTAGATTTGATCAATAAATAATAAATAAATAGTAATTTAAGCACATTCCTCACATTCTTTCAACTTAAATTCAAAATAACTCACAATTTCATGTATAAACCTTTTAATTCACCTCAAAATATCTTACATTGGGAGTCTTTGCCGTCCTCTTGTGGAAAAATAATAATATAAGATGATATTTCACGACTCTAGATGGCGTTATAGCTCTATATGGAGCAGATGAGCTGTTCCGCTGGGTCCTAAACCCAGTCACTTCAGTGTGGGTTCAGATACACATGTAGACGTTATAAAATATTTTTGTTTTGGTAAAGTTTTAGCATTTTTAGTTTGAATTTTGAGCATTTTTAGGTTTTTCTATGTGTACTGAAGCATTCCTCATATTCCATTCATTCCTACGGGGTCAAATTGACCCGCGAGGGAAGGATTGTTACTTTTTTTTTTATTTCAACCACAAAACCCGAACCATTTTGTGTGTGTATTCGTGGTTCAAGTGCAACAAAAGTCCTGGGGTCTTGGACCCCTTTGATGAACACTCAAAAAAAAAAAAAAAAAAAAGTTTCGGGTCACAATGCACAATGCTCCTTTTTAAATTATTATTATTATTTTTTTTTTTGTGTGTTCTCAAGTCGCTTTCTTGGAAGTGCAATTTTCACAAAATAGCGACTTAAATTTGGACAAGTATGGACAACTGTTATCATACTTTTATGCTGCTTTTTTTGTCCTGCTTAACCCTCTGGGGACCAGAGTGTTTTTGGGGCCCTTGGGATGTTTTGACATGCACTGACATTTGTGCTTTTTTCAGTTATTTATAAACATGTTAATGGCAAAGGTGTAAATTCACTCTATATAGCACAGACGGGACTACCATGATAAGTGAGCAACATGTATGTACATGTTTGTATTTTTAATAGAATAATGTTTATGCGTGGTTATTGAAAAAAATAAAAATGAAAGTTGCTGAAATAAGACCACAAAACACATATTGATTATTTCTTCACAAGACTTTTGAAAATTGTATCACATAGCCTAGAATATTTGCTCCAAAACTATGTGAGAATCATCCTGACTGCTCATTCAGATAAGTCAATAAAGTCTTTTACATTTTTAATGACGTGTTTTGTTTGAGAAAGCTTTATGCAGGAGGCGTGATCTCTCATTAATATGTGTGGCATTCCACACCTGAGAAAGACAAAGACCCTCCCCATAATGGCCCTATTAGGTGCTATCAGGCCATATCATTACAGGAGCCTTGCACAAAGAATGAGGAGATTTAAAAAAGAATGGCTTTTAGATTGTTTGGATTTATATAAGGAAAATACAGGGTGCATACGTCTGGACACTTCTATCACACACCCTTCACCATATAGACATGGTTTTATTTCAGTTCAAAGTTCAAAGTTAGAGTTGGAAACATCTTGAAAAGAAAATAGTCTTTTTCCATAAATGTCTTAGTTTGATCATACATATTTCAAAGTTGAGGATTCATTATTTTGATATAGCTTGCATTGGAACAAACATCTTAGTTGATTAGTTTATTGACAAAACATAAGCTTATTTGATGTCTTTATTTTGAAGCTTATTTGATGCTTATTTGATTTGAAAAACTTTATCCAAAACTAGTCAAAGAAATGTTCTTTTATTTCGTCTGTAACAGTGCGTATCTGTGCGTTCATTCATTCATTCACACACACACACACACACACACACACACACACACACACACACACACACACACACACACACACACACACACACACACACACACACACACACACACACACACACACACACACACACACACACACACACACAGAGAGAAACATAATTCACATTTAAACAGTAGGATATGCTATTTGTCCGTTTACAGACACTAACGTTATTCTATATCGCGATTAGAACAAAGCACAAAACACTTACACTTCTCAGCTGAATCTGTTGCTCCTCCTCGAAGTGAAACCAGCACTTGTTCTGTGGTAAATGTCCCAGGATTATTCCTCATAGCCGCGCAAGACGAATCTTAATCTGACTAAAAAATATTGTGTGTTTACAGCATTTGCCTGGGGGCGTTTATCTATTTTGCAAATGGCCTCAACACATTATCTTATGAATAGCGCGCTCTGCGAGTGGGTGTGAACAAATTAACGATAATGAGCTGAGACAGGAGAAACTGTACTTCTCTTTAGTTTTTGACAGATTACATTGCAGGAGAATATTTGTTTTAAATGTGAATTGTTTTATTTAAAAGTAGAAATTTAAAGCGTTCTTTAGACGTATGTTTCATGTTTGTGTGATAAGTATTAGCGGAGTTTCCGTTCATTTTCCAGACATGTTTCAGAAAGATTTTTGCGGAGACAGAGTGAGCTGAAAGCGCACCCTGTTTATTTTATTTATTTTAAAAAAAGCACAAGGTTTTGATGTTAATGTGAGTGTACACAAAAAAAGAAGACCCTCTATAGTTTATAATCATGTATTGATTTTATTTATATGACCATAAATGACGGAGTATTTTAAGTCTATGTTGCTGCTATGTGAAAAAAAAACAGCAAAACGCGCGGGCGCGTTCTTGGTCCCCAGAGGGTTAATTTTGTAGCTTGAAAAAAATTTTGCACTGCAAAAATATATATTTTTCTTTTTATATTTTTGTCCTGTTTTCCAGTAAAAATATCTGAACATTCATAAATCAAGATAGATTTACTAAAGATATTAAGTCTTGTTAACTGAAAAATATATCAAAATTAAGCGAGCTTATGCTTAAAACAAGAAATATCTGCCAATTTGATCAGAAAAAATGTACTTTTAGATATTTGTACTGGAAACCAAGTCATTTTTTTGCAGTGCGCATGACCTAGTGTTTTATGTGTTTACACACTCAGGTTTATCTGATCGCACACATCTCTGTTTTTTCACATTCAGATTTGTGCTTTTGCTCTGTAAAGATGAATTATCACCAACAATGTGCATTTGAGTCCAAGATGAGTCTTTATTTGTTTCTGGGAAATCAGCCATGATGCTTACCCCCCCCTTACCCTCTCTCTCTCTCTCTCTCTCTCTCTCTCTCTCTCTCTCTCTCTCTCTCTCTCTCTCTCTCTCTCTCTCTCTCTCTCTCTCTCTCTCTCTCTCTCTCTCTCTCTCTCTCTCTCTCTGTGTGTGTGTGTGGTAAGAAAAGGATTTAGTCATTTTCAGATCAGATAATAAAAGATCTGGGTAAAGTAAAGAGCGCACTTCTTTGTGTCTGTGTCTTGACTCACTCTGTGCTCCCTATAGTCAGCTGACTAAGAACCTTATAAGTAAGAGATTTGGAACGCTCTACATACAGCAATATCATGTGGAGCGCAAAAGATTATATACAATATAATATAAACTTATATATATATACTGTATATGTATAATGTTTTATTTTAATATGTATGTGTAATATACTAAAATATTTACTATAACAGAATTTATCTTAGAATTATCTATATACATATGTACAGGTGAAACTCGAAAAATTAGAATATGGTACAAAAGTTAATTTATTTCAGTAATTCAACTTAAAAGGTGAAACTAATATATTATGTAGACTCATTACATGCAAAGTGAGATATTTCAAGCCTTTATTTGTTATAATTTTGATGATTATGGTTTACAGCTTATGAAAACCTTTTCACAATATTCTCATTTTGAATTTGGGGTTTTCATAAGCTGCAATCATCAAAATTATAGCAAAATAAAGGCTTGAAATATCTCACTTTGCATGTAATGAATATATTAGTTTCACCTTTTAAGTTGAATTACTGAAATAAATTAACTTTTGCACCATATTATAATTTTTCGAGTTTCACCTGTGTGTGTGTATATATATATATATATATATATATATATCAATAAATAGATAAGTCTAAAATAATAAATTATATAATAGTATATTAATATTTATTAAATTGTATACATATATATATATATATATATATATATAGACAGATTAAATATTCAAAAGGAAAAAAATACACATCATGTAATAATAATTTATTAATAATAATAATATATATATATATATATATATATATATATATATATATATATATATAATTATTATTATTAAAGAATTATTACATGAGGTGTTCATAAATGAAGAACAAAAGGTTGTTTACTCATGTACATCCGCAGTTCTTCCTCGTCCCTGACCCCGTGTGTTTCTCCTCTTCTTCTTCTTCTGCAGATGTGCTGCGAGTGCTGTTTGCTCGGCCGGGCGGCTCAGGAGCGAGGCCTGTCATGTGACCTGACGCTCGCTGTGGGGTACCAGTGCGGTGTGGTGTCCCGGGCCTGCTGTGTGGACCGCCTGCCCATTATACATGCGAAACCCACACCGGGTGAGAAGAACAAACACCACGCACTCATGATGGAAAACAGCGAAACAATCCAGTTGAAATCATCATGGTTATGACATCACAACCCTCCTTAAAGAGACAGTGCACCCAAAAAGTTTTAATTCTGTCATCATGTACTCACCCTCAAGCCTGAATGAGTTTCTTTGTCCTGTTTAACACAAAAGAGGATGTTTAAGAATGTGGGCAACCAAACAGTTGCTGACTTCCATAGTTTATTTATTGTGGAAGTCAATGGGGGACCAGCAACTGTTTTTAGCAACTTAGTATAGAGATTGAATCATCTGAAAACCACGCCCACCGTCTCCATTGACTTTGTATTACGGGAAGCTGCCTTCTTGTCATTTCTGACTTATAACAAAAAACAGAACAATATCTAAAAGCTGCTATGTGACAGAGTGTACAGCAAACAAGCTAAATTACCCAGAAATACGTTTTTATAAGCTGTCGACCCCAAAAAAACTAGCGTTTAAGGACACAAAAGTGGATACCGGCGATAAGACGTGAAGCATCAGCTGAAAAGAATGGGTAAATTGTGGGATGCACTACAAATACACTACGTGTGCAGAAAACATTTTATCACGGGTATGTAAAATATCAAAATATCAGTTTTATATATTATATTTCTGTAAGCTTAGCTATCCTGTTGCCGATTACGTTCCCCTCAGTGGCGTAAGTTACTTCTCAGAGTAATATGACACGTTGGGCTCGGTCTCCACTTTTGTGTCCTTAAACACAAATTTTTTTGGGGTCGACAGCTTATAAACACGTATTTCTGGGTTGTTTAGCTTATTTGCTGTACACCTTGTCACATAACAAAAACCAAAACAATGTCTGAAAGCTGCTATAAGTCAGAAATGACGAGGAGGCAGCGTCACGCAATGCAGTCAATGGAGACGACGGGATGCACCCCTCCCCCTCCCCCGGTGTGGGCGTGGCCTAAATGCACTGTCTCTATTACAGTCTCACTGGACTCTGCTGCCCTCTAGTGCCACAGAGGAGCTCAGACTAAAGTTTTAATGCATTACAGTTTTTTACAGTCGCTAGGACACATTTCTCAATACTTAGGTCACTTTTTCAAAACTCTTCACACAGTTCTCCTAACCAACTTTCAGCTCGGCACAGGAGTTCATTTCACATTCAAAATCCACTTAAACTACAGAATCACTTTGTTGTACATGTCTCAGATCAACACACTCTTCCATAACACTAGCAAAGGTTGACAGCCAACAAACACACTTTGTCACCCACAAAACAATGACCTAAAAAACACTAACAACAGGAAACTTTATACAATGTTTTCCTCTGTAAATGCTTTCTTTCTTCTACCTCTCTACTGTTTAGAAATCACTGCAATATATGTGACTAGAATGAATTAGACATGATGCAGTAGCCTATGGTTCAATACTTTATATATTTTATGTTTTTGGAGTAATTCAAAAGTACAAAAATTTGTATACACACCATCCACTGATTCAGATACAATAGGAATCAGCTCTGGTTGGTCCAAATGCCCAATTGTTTTTATACCATTTAATTTTTAGATTTGAAATATATTTCATTACAATATTACTGTAGAAATGTGGCAAAATGCTGTCTTATTCAGTTTTGTATTATGTTATTGTTTTGAACTTAAGTTTAACAGTTTTGAAAACAGTGTGTAAGCATGTGCAAATTGACCTGTAGGTACAGAGTTTTGGCGGTTGTTGTGTCGAAGTGAGAAAATAATTAATGTAATTTGAAAGATGTAGTCATTGAATGCATTTTGTGCCAAAGCAATGATAAATGATCCACAGTTTAGCCCACATATACTTCTGTTGTGCTCACTGTGTGAAGAGTTTTTAAAAAGTGACCTAAGTATTGAGAAATGTGTCCTAGCGACTGTAAAAAACGGTAACTTACTGTATGTGTTCAAATGACAGATTTACAACCCGATGCACCAAACATTGACGACCGATGCAAAGGTATCTGAAACTATATAAGCCTATACAGACATATAATCAAATGCATGATTGAGAGTTTTTAGAGTAGTCTCATTAACGCTGTGTGTGTGTGTGTTTGCACTGAAGCTGCAGGCTGTGCTCAGCGTTGTGTGAACGGCACTTGTGTGTGTTTGGAGGGATTCAAGCTGAAGGCGGATAGAAAAACCTGTGAAGGTCAGTATGTGTCCACCTGTAAACGTACACATTTATTCAAACGCACGTCAGTCATGTGATCAGAAGAAAGAGAGTCACTGCAAGTCTTAATGCACAGATCCCATCTTTTGTCCATATCCGTTTACACTCACTTTAGACAGGAGGACTGGTATCCGATATCTGTGTTTACATTAATTCCCGCCCAAAAATTATTTTCGGTGATCGTTTTTCTATGCACATGGACATGGTAGACCCTGGTTTTGAATGGCCGTGCTATTAAAATTACTTATATAATTCATGTCGGGTGGTCATGATTATTTGCCAGCAGCATGGACGAGATGTCATGACTCATGAATGTTTTGCAGCTTTATAATGTTCGTTTATCTACAGTTCAGATCTAGAAATCTGAAGTGGAATAAAGTAGCGCTGTATATTATTATTTTATGACTTAACCGGAGCGAGCGAGAGAGAGAGAGTAACCTAATAGTGAAGCTTATTTTAACTAATTGAAGCTTGGTTTAACTAATTACAGTGAAGTTATCACCTCTGTAGGGACGCAGATGGTTTCATTAGTCTGTTTCTGACGCGTGCCTTTGTCTTGAATAAAATAAATATTGTCCATACCTTCAGAATAAATTTCGGATAAACCAAATCCATTTATTGTCCATTTGGTATTGCAAACAACAAAAAAGAACGAAAATAAAAACTAAATCAAAATATCTGATTCAAAACATACTGTTAGGCATGAGCACTGTCTTTCACAATCCAACTCTCAACACGGCACGGTCAAAAAGTTTGTTGACCTTCCATCAGCGCACCTGTAACTCATTATCACCTTACTTAAATATACTCAAAATACTCATACGCCATCTAGTGTCACGAACAAAAAATACAATTCAAAATAATGGCTCCAACAACCTCATTGCTGAGAAATATAATGTAGCTTTCAGTAGCGAAGCTGTTTTATTTATAAAAGTCAGTTGAAAACCAGCTCGTGAATGTTTCGGTGTTCGCTACCATTTCTTTTCTTTACCAAGACAAATATAAAGTTCCCAGCTAAATATAAACCCTTGAGCGAGCGCATACAGACACGTCTGCCTCATAATACAACATTAAAAATCTATCTTTGTGAATAAACGTGTCGTCCTCGCCTTGTGGCGGCTTGAATTCAAAGGAGAATCGGATATGTGTGTTTAGACGCAGGTCGGATGTCAGATATCGGATTTGAAAGTGGCTCAGATCGGATGCAAAAAACAAACAATAAACTCCGATCTGTGTCAGATGTGTGTAAACGCAGCCTCTGTGTCTCGACAGACATCAACGAGTGTGTGTTGGGCGCTTATCAGTGCCGTCCGGGCGAACGCTGCATCAACACACTCGGCTCGTACCGGTGTCAGAGAGAGGTCAGCTGCGGGACGGGCTACGAGCTCACCGACTCCAACCAGTGCGAAGGTCAGACACACACACACACACACACACACACACACACACACACACACACACACACACACACACACACTCACACACCGGCCAGTGGGAAGGTCAGACACACACACACACACACACACACACACTCACACACACTCAGAACACACCAACCAGTGCAAAGGTCAGACACACACACACACACTCACACACACTCTCACACACACACACACACACACACTCACACACCGACCAGTGGGAAGGTCAGACACACACACACACACACACACACTCACACACACTCACACACACACACACACACACACACACACACTCACACACCGACCAGTGCGAAGGTCAGACACACACACACACACACACACACACACACACACACACACACTCACTCACACACCGACCAGTGGGAAGGTCAGACACACACACACACACACACACACACACTCACACACACACACACTCAGAACACACCGACCAGTGCAAAAGTCAGACACACACACACACACTCACACACACTCAGAACACACCAACCAGTGCGAAGGTCAGACACACACACATACTCAAAACACACCAACCAGTGCGAAGGTCAGACACACACACACACACACACACACACACACACACACACACACACACACACACACACACACACACACACACACACACACACACTCAGAACACACCAACCTGTGCGAAGGTCAGACACACACACACACACACACACACACACACACACACACACTCAGAACACACCAACCAGTGCGAAGGTCAGACACACACACACACACACACACTCAGAACACACCGAACAGTGCAAAGGTCAGACACACACACTCAGAACATACCAACCAGTGCGAAGGTCAGACACACACACACACACACTCACTCAGACCACACCAACCAGTGTGAAGGTCAGACACACACACACACACACACACACACACACACTCAGAACACACCGAACAGTGCGAAGGTCAGACACACACACACACACACACACACACTCACTCAGAACACACCAACCAGTGTGAAGGTCAGACACACACACAGTGTGACAGGTCAGACACAGACACACACACACACACACACACACACACACTCACTCACTCAGAACATACTAGAGCCACAACATTCAAAAACTCTACATATATATATATTTTTTTTTTATGATAATTATTATTACAACAAAAAAAAATACGAAAAAATACGAAATATTAATATATATTACTTATTTGATTATTTGTTTATCGCACTAAGCCATAATGGCGAGCTTGATTTGGATTAATTGTGCAGCTCTATAACCTACATGTCACTCGTCTCCTTAATAATAATAAATGAAGTTCCTAAACGTAAGTTAGGGAGGAGCGAGCCCATCCAATCTTTCAATCAACAAACAGAGTATATAAGCAGCCGCTTACCTCTCCCTAGTATCAGCTGTTCCAGTATGCATTACTGCCGCAAGGAATAATGTCCGACATCCCGGAAATCCAGCTCTTTCCTTCAGACGACGAACTGACAAGCCTTCCTGGGTCACAGCCAGTCACACCCCGCGTGAGATCGAATCTTACGGATCATCTTCATGAGCGTTCTGATCGAGAAATCCAGCGCTCAAAAAACCACTTTCCAAAAGGCAACGCTCTCCTCCATCTTCAAGATCACCAGTTTTAACCGAGCCTCGTCCATCTTCTCTCCATTCTTCCGCTGCTAATACACCGATTCCACCCATTTCAAAATGTTCAGTGTTCAGTGTTCAGCAAAAGCTCAACTCTACGATCTTTTCATCAGTTCTTACAGTTCCAGCATTCCATCAAACACTTCAACATCTTATAAAAGCAAGACTCGCACCTCTTCTACCTCAGTTTCTCTCCCGGTTCGGCGTTCTGAACCCACACAATCCCAACGCGCCGATCCAAAGGCCGCCGGTGTTGTGCCGAATTTCGATTCCCTGCCAAATTATTACCCCCCTCGTTGAAGTCAGTACCTGATTGCCTAATCCTAACCCCACCCATAATCCTAACCCCTCCCCCACAACTAATCCTAAACCTACCAATACTAGGGGGGGTAGTAATTTGGCGGGGGTCGAAATTCGGCACTACACCGGCGCCGCCGCGGCTCACACTTCCTTGTCCGCCGGTATTTCCACCCGGCCAGCAACAGCGGCCGCAAAAAACAGTTCCGCTTCTTCTCCAGCTCTCACAAACTTCATGCTGTCAGCCCCACTCCCCAGGCAAGATCCGAACTCACAAACACATTCCTCCGACTTCCCTCTGCTTCTCCAGTTCTCTCTAAACTTCTTTATTATAACCCTTGTGCCAGGTCACCCTCGCACACAGTTACATTTCTCTCACCCTCAAACCAACCTACTCAAAGAGCGGATCCTAGCGCGAGGTTGCCTTCGCTAGCCTTCTTCCCTCTTTCCTTCCATTCCAATTCGCCTCACCCCTTTTTCCCCTTCTATCTTCCAATTGTCTCCTAATATTCTTTCCAGTTCACATCAGAGCGTGAGGTTGCCTCAGCAAAGGATTTCTACACTTTTCCACACAAAACCTCCCCTTCCTCTCACTTCAGGCCCATAGACAGTATAAGAAGTGGACAGAGCCATCTCATTGGAACTCAGTTGAGACAGTTGAAGCCCATTTTTAGCGATTTCTGAGCACTTCCGTTCCTGACGCGCAGACTCAGACCGACTCAAACTAAGCTTGATGACGTGAGCAACCTGTCTGACAGACGTTAATCTTCTAGTAGCTGTGCGTGAAAATTGCCAACGTTAATCTTGCAGAGACGGGGAACTTGAGCAAAGAGTTCTTTGGCGTGAGTGAGCAGGAGTAAGTATTCCGTTGCTTTTATGGACTCATTATCTATGGGCTTCTCCCTTGACGGGACGTCCCCCCGATTGCCTGCGAGCTTCTCCTGCTGTCTGTACGGTCATTTCTGTACAGCGCGACAGAGAGTCGAGTGGTTATGACGCAATCGTTAGCCTATTTTTACTAAATCTGTTTCTACGGGGCCATAATGTAACATAGAAGGTAATGGAGCACTTTATACATTGTCGTGTTTCTTTAGAAATAAATAATGGACAAATGGAGTCTTTAAACGCCTCAGATGTAAAGTTATTCGCTGTCAAAGTGACGCCAAAATGAATGGGAGTCAATGGAAATGCTAACGCAAGTGAAGTTCTGCTACAACATGGCGGCACCCGGCCGGCTTCAACTTCCGGTCGATGGATTACCCCCTTGTTCAGGCCATGCCAGCCATCTTGGACACCAGCAGTGTTCTTCTTCTTCGTCTTTTACTGGCGACTTGCAACCAATTGGAGCATTATCGCCACCTACTGTATCTTATTTACTTTTGCTTAAATCCTTAGCTTTAGTCCAGTTTGTTGTAGATAAGATGATATGATTTTAAGCACCATCTTTCTGGATTTATTTGAGAAGATATTTGTAATGTTCATTTGTTTGATTCCTTCATGTTCCAGTCCATTCCTTAAATCCATTCTTTGATTTGAGTATTTAATACACTCAAACAGCACATGTTCCACAGTTTCCACCAGCAGTGTTGGGGAGTAATGGAATATATGTAACGGCTTTACGTATTCAGAATACAAATTATGTGTAGGCCCATCTGTATTCCGTTACAGTTACAATTTAAATAGTTGGTATTTAGAATACAGTTACATTGTTGAAATCATTGGATTACATTACGATACTTCTGTTTCACGAGTTTAGTCACTCTCTAAATAAATTAAGGCAACTCAGCATTTCCCAGAAGCCCCAATGTGAAAACGAAAAATGCGCGGTTTGCGTGATCAGTCACAATGAGTCGGAAGAGGAGCAGCGGGAGCTAGAATAGAGATGTAGCCGGAACTACAACAGAGACAGGGCAAGAATGCGTTTCGATCTCGGAAATTCAAACAGCATTTCACATTAAAGAAAGAGAAGGGAGAACGAAATATAGCCTAACTGTGCAGTGCAACCTCTGCTTGCCAGCAACCAACCTCCTTTCAGCGTCCAAAGCAAGGGGGTAATCCATCAGCCGGAAGTTGAAGCTGCCTCCGGGGGCCGCCATTGTAGCTGGCTATCACCTGCTGTTAGCATCCCATTGACTCCCATTCATTTTGGCGTCACTTTGACAGCGAATAACTTTACATCTGAGGCGTCCAAAGACTCCATTTGTCCATTATTTATTTCTAAAGAAACACTTTGTATCTTACACGTTATGGCCCCGTAGAAGCCATTCTTGTAAAAATAGGCTAACGATTGCGTCATAACCACGGGACGCTCTGTCGCACAGTAGATAAATTACCGTGTAGACAGAAGGAGAAGCTCGTAGGCAATCGTTTACTGTCTATGAGGCAATCGGGTGGACATGGAGGCATAAAGTCAAGGGAGAAGCCCAGAGATAGAGAGTTCATAAAAGCAACGGGACAAAATATTTCAACAACAGATTTGTTTCAGATTTCAATTCAGATTTGTCCCGGCACAGCTACTAAAAGGTCAGATTTGTCCCGGCACAGCTACTAGAAGGTCAGATTTGTCCCGGCACAGCTACTAGAAGGTCAGATTTGTCCCGGCACAGCTACTAGAAGGTCAGATCGTCGTCAAGCTCAGTTTGAGCCTGCGCAGTGCGCTTGGCTATCAGGAAGTGAGTGCCCATGTTGGGCTTCAACTGTCTCCGTTGAAATCAACGGGGTCGCTGTGTCCATTTCTTTTACTGTCTATGGTCCAGAGACTCCACCTCCAACCGGAAGAAGCATCTTAAAGTACAATCCGCTTGCCAGCCCATTCACTCTCAACAGCAGTCCATCTTCCAGCTCCTAACAATGCAATCGCCATGGAACCACTACCAGTCCCAGCCCATCTCCGTTCCCTAATTCTATCAGGTGCAACTATCGATCTTCCTTCTCTACTGACTTTCGTCCCTCTCAATGAATCCCACCGCTCGTTTGACTTAAATCGTTGATCTTACAAATTCTGTACAACCTTCAAAACGAGTTCTCACACTTTCAGAATTCTGCGTTGCTTTTGCCAGATACACAGAAGTAATTTGCACTTCATTTCCAGCCAGACGCAAGGAATTAAATGACTACCTCTCTACCATAGCAGAGCTCAGTCTCTCTTTCGGAGGTAGTAATTTTTATACATACATAAGCTTTTTTCAGCTAAATGCGCCGCCCGCATCACACACTGGAACCAGTGTCCTTACTGGGGAGCCTTGGACCTCGAACTATATAACAGAGTCTTCTTAGGCGTTCGAAGCCCTTCTTGCACCATCTGCAGGTCTATCATTCATTCTACGTTCAGAATGTCCCCAAACCAACTCAGATCTTCCAACCCATCCAGCTCCTTTCCAAGAAAAATCCACTTCATATGTCCCTCAATCAAGGAATCACCGTAACCAGATTTTTACCTCAGTTCCAGGCAGACAAGTGTGCAACAGCTTTAATTCATCACGTTGCAACAGACAACGATGCCACTTCCTCCATGTCTGTAATTTCTGTGGCGGAGCTCACGCCCGGTCTATTTGCCCTGTGCGCCGCTCCTCAGCTAACTTTAACCGTCGACATTCTTAGCGTCTAGCTAACCACTCTCCGCTCAGGTCTTTTTCTCCTAACAAAACAAGAGCCCCAGACGCCATGTTCAATTTGGCTTTCTTCCGATCACCAAATCAAAATGCTAGGTCGATGGTCGTCCCTCGCCTTCGAAACATACGTTCGTTCAGATCTGCATAACATTAGACAAGCACAGCAAACACTAGCATCCCTCTAAGTCTGGACCGCTTCTCCCTACTATTTTGCATCTCCCCGCTTACCTAGCCCCGCAGGGCGTGTATTCATCTGGATGCAGTGAGAGCTCTCCCTTTTCAGATGTGCGTGACCTACCACTCCTGGAGTGGGGTCTCCCATCTGAATCGTCGTGTGGGCTCTTCCGTTCAGATGCATCATAGGCTCTCCCGTTCGACTTGCTGCGTGGGCTCTCCCGTTTTGATTGCCGAGTGAACTCCCTATTCATACATATGGGGGGGCTCTCTCCTTCGAAACGCAGCGGGAGCTCTCCCTTTCCGAATCGAGGTGTGATCCTTTATGTTCTTAACCATGGAGGCTCTCCCGTTCGGATCGCAGTGTGGGCCCTCCTATCCGAAAAACAGGACTGGAGGTACCAAGGATCGTACGTCCCTCGAACGCGACGGGCCATTATGTCTTTATGTGATCTTCGCCCCCTGCGTCAGAAGGATGGTAGTTCTGCTTTTCCTATGTATACCGTAGGCTCCCTCTTGCTGCGTAGGGAGTTTCGCTTCAGATACTGGTGGCCCGTTTGCCTTTAGGGACGAGGACCTTCTTCCCCGTTTGTGACATCTGGAAGCCCCATGTTCTCTAACTCCATGGGGCTCCATGTCATGGATGTGGCAGGGCGTTCTCCAACCTCGTACTCAAACCTCCAGTCCCAAGATACTCCCGCAGGAGTAATTTCTGAAAGTCACTGCCGCAGCAGTGCAGCGGTGAGATGCACCCCAGTCAAATTTCCACAAGCCCATGTCGTTACACTCCACAACGAGCGCAGGCACACTCTTTCAAACACAGCTCCCGCCGGAGCTCCACTCATAGCCCCACATGGTGGGCATAGTAGGGAGACGCAGTTCCAGCCAGGAGCCCCATTAAACATATCACTGCCGCAGCAGCATCCATCCATGCTCCATCCAGCTTTCAATTTCCACTCTTTTTGGGGGGTAACATGCTTTAAGCTCTTAGGCATCCTGTATTTGATCACGTTATTCTAACTTGCTGTCCCAAATATTTATTCAACACTTTTGGGGGGTATATCAGAGCTCGAGTTGAAGCTGCTTCATCGAGCCCCTCTCTTCAGCGGACAGCAAGCCAAATAAGTTTAACCTAATATCTTAAAGATTTTATGGGCAAACAAACTCGTTAATAATAAATAAACAAAGATATAATGTGTGTGTGTGCTGTTTCAGACATTGATGAGTGTGAGACGGGCACTCATAACTGCGCAGCCGAGATGCTGTGCCAGAACTCAGCCGGGTCGTTCCGCTGCCGGCCCAGAATGCAGTGCGGCGAGGGGTTCATTCAGGACGCTCTCGGCAGCTGCATCGGTGAGAACGTTTCTGTTACGCTCTCTAACGATGTGTGTGTTCTTGTGTGTGTGACAGATATAAACGAGTGTGTGAGTGTGTAAAAGCCTGTTATGCTCTCTAACGATGTGTGTGTTCTTGTGTGTGACAGATGTAAACGAGTGTGTGAGTGTGTAAAAGCCTGTTACGCTCTCTAACGATGTGTGTGTTCATGTGTGTGACAGATGTAAACGAGTGTGTGAGTGTGTAAAAGCCTGTTACGCTCTCTAACGATGTGTGTGTTCTTGTGTGTGACAGATGTAAACGAGTGTGTGAGTGTGTAAAAGCCTGTTACGCTCTCTAACGATGTGTGTGTTCTTGTGTGTGACAGATGTAAACGAGTGTGTGAGTGTGTAAAAGCCTGTTACGCTCTCTAACGATGTGTGTGTTCTTGTGTGTGACAGATATAAACGAGTGTGTGTGTGTAAAAGCCTGTTACGCTCTCTAACGATGTGTGTGTTCTTGTGTGTGACAGATGTAAACGAGTGTGTGAGTGTGTAAAAGCCTGTTACGCTCTCTAACGATGTGTGTGTTCTTGTGTGTGACAGATGTAAACGAGTGTGTGAGTGTGTAAAAGCCTGTTACGCTCTCTAACGATGTGTGTGTTCTTGTGTGTGACAGATATAAACGAGTGTGTGAGTGTGTAAAAGCCTGTTACGCTCTCTAACGATGTGTGTTCTTGTGTGTGTGACAGATATAAACGAGTGTGTGAGTGTGTAAAAGCCTGTTACGCTCTCTAACGATGTGTGTTCTTGTGTGTGTGACAGATATAAACGAGTGTGTGAGTGTGTAAAAGCCCGTTACGCTCTCTAACGATGTGTGTGACAGATATAAACGAGTGTGTGAGTGTGTAAAAGCCTGTTACGCTCTCTAACGATGTGTGTGTTCTTGTGTGTGACAGATATAAACGAGTGTCTGAGTGTGACGGGCCCGTGTCCGGCGGGTCACATGTGCTTTAACACCGTCGGCTCCTTCACCTGCCAGAGACAGTCTGTGAACTGCGGTCGCGGATACCATCTGAACGCACAGGGAACTCGCTGCGTCGGTACACACACACGCACACACACACACACACACACACACGCACACAATCTCACACAACTGCAGATTAAACATGTTCAATTCATGACCAATCTGATCAAGTACTCAGAGAGAAAATACAATGTCAAGTAATAAATATGCTTAAATTCAAAAGAAAAACAATGAATAACATAAAAAAATATCTATTTTATATTAATGTCATGTTTATGTTATATGTAATTACTCTATAGCATATACTGTGTCACTCAGATATGCATGACATTGCATGTTTAATTCTAAACATTAGAAAAATATTTTGGGGAAAAATAACCTTAGAGTAATATACTGGTATAACTAATATTTTAATTAGTCTCATAAATAATATAATAACACCCTAAATCAAAAGGAAAAATTAATTAATAATATAATAAATAACATAATCAAAATAAATATTCTATATATAATTTTATTATAGCACACAATGTGTCACTTGTATTATAATTAGTCTTCAGTGAATAAAATAAAATATCAAATAATAAAAATGCTAGAAATCTAAGATTAACCCCCCCCCCACTAATTAATATAATAAAATAAATAATAAAATACATTTTTATTATTTAATCTTAAATTATGTTTATATATAAATAAATAAATAAATAAAACTAAATCAAAAGGAAAAATCAATGAATAACATGTATATAGAATATTTATTTTGATTATATGATTAATTATATTACATAGCACAAAATGTGTCACTAGTATTATAATTGGTCTTCAGAGAAAAAAATGTAATATCAAATAATAAAAATGCTGGAAAGATTTTCTCAAAGACTTCAAAAGAAAGAAAACACTAATTAATATACCGGTGTATATATATATATATATTACAAAGTACATTTATTATGTTTATGTAATTTTAATATAATTATATACATTTATAATGAATATAATTTAATATACAGTATATTTATACACAGAAGTCTTAAAGGTATAACTAATGTTATAGGTGAACTTTATAAGTGACTAAATAAAACATAAAATAATAAAAACCTCAAAGAAATCATCTTATTTGAGAAAAAAATCCAGCTCTCAGTTTCACCCCCAAAAATCAATAAATAATATAACAAAAAATCTAAATAATATAATATTACATAGAACATACTTGTCACTATGACATTATGGAAATAAAATGGGTTGTGAATGCCATATTTTGCTAGGTTTGAGAGTTTCCCACTGATAAAGTTAGTCTGTCTCTTTAAGAGCTGAATATGAGCTCTGATGATGACTCTCGCCTCAGATATCGACGAGTGTGCGGGTCCTGATAACTCCTGTGACAGTCACGGCTGTATTAATCTGTTGGGCTCGTACCGATGCGAGTGCAGGTCCGGCTTCATCTTCAACAGCATTACCAGATCCTGTGAAGGTCAGTGGTTAAGAGGTCAAAGGTTGTAGGTTCAAACCCACACCAGGGTTCATGCATTTGAATTTATTTGTTGATCTGTGTTCAGTATTTCTTTCTTTTGAACATCAGACATAAATGTGGAATAAATAAATTAAATGTACAGACTCTGCGTTAACTTTAATTTGTCATATCTGAGTACAAAAAAGTCTCAAAGTACATTTCCAACTCTTTTTAAATGCAACATTTTCACTGAATAAAATAATTAGAAATAGAATTATATATATATATATATTTTTTTTGTAAATTAAATAATATATAATTTTAATTAAATTATAAATCATATATAAAACATTATTATTGAATTTAAATAATTCAAATATAATTAAATATATTAATTATTTTATTATTATTATATTATAATTATTTAAAATAATTATATATATATATATATATATTGTAATTAATTAATTATATATATATAATTTAAATAATTAACAAAATATTAATTAAATAATCTAATTATATATATATTATTTAATTATATTAATTATAATTATTAATGATAATTATTATAATTGTTTAAAATATGTCAAGTATATATATATATATATATATATATATATACTTGAAATATTTTAAACAATTACATATATATATATATATATATATTTTAATTAAATATATTGATCATTAAATATAATTAAATATTATATTAATTTAATAATATTATATATATTTTCTTTTTATTAAATTATACTTATTATAATTTGTAATTTAAAATATTTCAAGTGTGTGTATATATATATATATATATATATACAATTTTATTTAAATAATTAAAATATAGTACATTTTATATTTTATTTATATATAATTATTTATTAAATTAAACAATATACTATTTAATTTTAGACTATTAAAAATATAATTAATCATTAATTAATTTGTATAATATAATTATTTTAAAAATTATATGTATGTATATATCTATATATATCTATATATATATATATATATTTTAGCATTAGCATTATTATTTTAATGAACCTTTTGCTTGACCCCCATTGATCTAAATGCCGTATTCCTTTCTCCTGAACATCAGACATCAACGAGTGCAGGAACTATCCGGGCCGACTCTGTAAACACAAGTGTGAAAACATCCTGGGCTCCTACAAGTGCAGCTGCACCACCGGCTTCAAGCTGGCCAGCGACGCCAGGAACTGCGAAGGTACCGCAAAACCCTTAGAACTAAAGGCCCGTTCACACCAAGGACGATAACGATAACGATATACTTTTAAAAATCTTTCTCAATATTAAAGAGTAGTAGTCACACCACAGCTATAATGATAACGCTTTCGTTCCGGATCACTTTTGGAACATTTTTTTCCAGTTGTTGAACGACAAACACTGACAGCCAATCAGAATCCATTCTAATTACCGGGCATTACTCGCGCATTTAAAATGGCAGACGACATTGAGGGGAAGTTAATCACGGAGGTCCAGATAAATCCACCATTGTTTGACAAGTCAAGCCACTTTTCAAGAAAATGGAAAACAATCGTTCATCCCTCCTCTGAATAAACGGTGAGAAGTTTTGCCTCAGGTTTCCAGCGCTCGTTTCAACAACACTGTCTTGCTTCCTTCGAAGTTGCGGTGAAAAAGACTGTGTTGTTTTTATTCCACTATATTGACTAAATTCACTGTTAGATTATCAGCTCGATTACACGCTTCCCTCAAAACACAGCATGCTGAGGACATCTGCTGGTTAAAGCCGCGTAAACGCAACGAGAACAGCAGAAACATGTTCGATGACGTTGTACACACTTTGAAACCACAGCGCGAGCTTAGAATAAACAGACCGTTATCATTCGTTAAGTGTGTGCGCAAATATAGTTACCGTTCTTGGTGTGAACGGGCCTTAATAATCAGCTCAGTCAGCCTTGGTTCATTCCCTGGCCTGTCGTTTATCCACAGACCTCGACGAGTGCGAGAGCGGCCCCTGCAGTCAGGAGTGCGCCAATGTTTACGGGTCCTATCAGTGTTACTGTCGCCGTGGTTACCAGCTGAGTGATGTGGACGGGATCACCTGTGAAGGTGAGTGTCTGAGACTGTCCCTGCGTCTCAATGTCCACACTATCCATCCTAAACAGTGTGTGAGATTAGAATAAGTGTGTCCCAAAGCATATACACTCACCGGCCACTTTATTAGGTACACCTGTCCAACTGCTCGTTAACACTTAATTTCTAAGCAGCCAATCACATGGCGGCAACTCAGTGCATTTAGGCATGTAGACATGGTCAAGACAATCTCCTGCAGTTCAAACCGAGCATCAGTATGGGGAAGAAAGGTGATTTGAGTGACTTTGAACGTGGCATGATTGTTGGTGCCAGAAGGGCTGGTCTGAGTATTTCAGAAACTGCTAATCTACTGGGATTTTCACGCACAACCATCTCTAGGGTTTACAGAGAATGGTCCGAAAAAGAAAAAACATCCAGTGAGCGGCAGTTCTGTGGGCGGAAATGCCTTGTTGATGCCAGAGGTCAGAGGAGAATGGCCAGACTGGTTCGGGGTGATAGAAGGGCAACAGTGACTGAAATAACCACTCGTTACAACCGAGGTATGCAGCAAAGCATTTGTGAAGCCACAACACGCACAACCTTGAGGCGGATGGGCTACAACAGCAGAAGACTCCACCGGGTACCACTCATCTCCACTACAAATAGGAAAAAGAGGCTACAATTTGCAAGAGCTCACCAAAATTGAACAGTTGAAGACTGGAAAAATGTTGCCTGGTCTGATGAGTCTCGATTTCTGTTGAGACATTCAGATGGTAGAGTCAGAATTTGGCGTAAACAGAATGAGAACATGGAACCATCATGCCTTGTTACCACTGTGCAGGCTGGTGGTGGTGGTGTAATGGTGTGGGGGATGTTTTCCTGGCACACTTTAGGCCCCTTAGTGCCAATTGGGCATCGTTTAAATGTCACGGCCTACCTGAGCATTGTTTCTGACCATGTCCATCCCTTTATGGCCACCATGTACCCATCCTCTGATGGCTACTTCCACCATGTCACAAAGCTCTAATCATTTCAAATTGGTTTCTTGAACATGACAATGAGTTCACTGTACTAAAATGGCCTCCACAGTCACCAGATCTCAACCCAATAGAGCATCTTTGGGATGTGGTGGAACGGGAGATTTGCATCATGGATGTGCAGCCGACAAATCTGCGGCAACTGTGTGATGCCATCATGTCAATATGGACCAAACTCCCTGAGGAATGCTTCCAGCACCTTGTTGAATCTATGCCACGAAGAATTGAGGCAGTTCTGAAGGCAAAAGGGGGTCCAACCCGTTACTAGCATGGGGTACCTAATAAAGTGGCCGGTGAGTGTATGTTGAAAAGATCTACTATTCTAGATCTACTATATATGATTGACAGGTCAGTTTACGGTGACAGGATGATCGACAGGTCAGTTTACGGTGACAGGATGATTGACAGGTCAGTTTACGGTGACAGGATAATTGACAGGTCAGTTTACGGTGACAGGATGATTGACAGGTCAGTTTACGGTGACAGGATGATTGACAGGTCAGTTTACGGTGACAGGATGATTGACAGGATGATTGACAGGTCAGTTTACGGTGACAGGATGATTGACAGGTCAGTTTACGGTGACAGGATGATTGACAGGTCAGTTTACGGTGACAGGATGATCGACAGGCTAGTTTACGGTGACAGGATGATTGACAGGTCAGTTTACTGTGACAGGATGATTGACAGGCCAGTTTACGGTGACAGGATGATTGACAGGCCAGTTTACGGTGACAGGATGATTGACAGGTCAGTTTACGGTGACAGGATAATTGACAGGTCAGTTTACGGTGACAGGATGATTGACAGGTCAGCTTGTGTCCGCTTGTGTACTCACTCAAAAGTATGTATTTTTTCTTCACAAAAAGAGTACATACTTTTAGGGCGTAGTATAAGTAGGCGAATTGAGAAACAAGTGAAGTATTTATGAGTGAGTCATTGAATCATTCACTCAAGAGATTTGTTCAAAAACACTGATTCACCCAGTAATGAAACAGGTGAAGTCTTTTTGAGTGAGTACATACTTATATTATAAGCAGTGTTGGTCAAGTTACTTGGAAATAGTAATTAGTTACTGATTACTGATTACTTCTCCAAAAAAGTAATCCAGTTACTTTACTGATTACTTATTTTCAAAAGTAATTAGTTACTTTACTAGTTACTTTACTAAGTTACTTTTCAAACACATGATGCACGACCTGAATACGCTAAAGCAATAGACCTTTCAGCCTAATTCTATTCTTTCTGCATGTTCCATCATCAAAATGTAATCAAATGAAACATTCTCTTTTTTTAAACTTATTTTATTATTTCAATATTTTAACTTTATGCACATTGCAAGCAAAAAATTCAATTAAATGCAATAGTCTCAGACTAGAAGAAAATTGTTGAACATTTAAACCTATTTTCTGCACATTCCACCATATTTTAATGAAATAAAGAAAGTCCTTCTTCTGTTAACTTAAATTTCTACATATTCCAGCATATAAAATAAATGTATTTTTTGTAAAATCCTTCATTTGAAAAGATGTAAAAATACAGCAATAAAATCATTTAAAATGAAAGTCGCTCCTGACTGTATTACAAATGATTAACACTTACGTCTTTTAACAGTAAAGTGCAGAGAGGAGTAAAAATTAGTTGATTAAAACAGAAAATGCTGCTGCATGCCACATTTTGGCTTCACGTTTTTTGTTTTCTTTCGGAGTGAAACAGTGGTTATATATTATATCCCATCAGCATGTAGGTAGCCGCTGCGGTCATGTCAGTTGGGTGTTCAGGCCAGGGTTTTTTTCAGTAGGGTTTCACATTCCTGTTTCACGTTCCTGTACCGGCTTGCTGCGTTAGTTAACCGTGTAAAACTGTCTCTTGACATATGCTTGCTCAGATTTGAGGTAGAATTTTGACATTCTCCAACGGGGGTCCTGTTTCTAGATCAGGATGCTCTCTCTGCACATGCAAGGTCTCTCGCGTTTGCTCTCTCTCTCTGTCCGTGTGCGCGCTACATGGAGCACAGTCTCTGTCTCGCATGCACGCTCGCTCTAAATTCCGGGAGATTTTAACTAATTTGCGGTGTAAGTCAATAACAAATGTGGCTCAACAGTTAGATTTATAGATAAACTCATCTTTCAGGCGTTTGACCGAAGGGGTTGACACTTCAGCGCGAGAAATCGGGGGTGTGCGTGTGAGCGAGCGTGTGTGAGAGTTGGCAGCTCTGCTGCTCTCTCCCTCGTTCTAGTCGTCTCTCACTGATGTCGCGGCGCTCATACATCATTTGTTATTCACGCACGACTCATGTCACGAGACAGTCTCACGACACTAAACAAAATCACGGTTAACTAACGCAGTAACGCAGACTGTTTACGGGGAAGTAACAGTAATCTAATTACTATTTTTTCAATTGTAATCCCTTACTTTACTCGTTACTCGAAAAAAGTAATCAGATTACAGTAACGCGTTACTTCTAACGCGTTACTGCCCATCACTGATTATAAGCGTATTATAAGTAATAAGTAGGTGAATTGAGACAGAGCACGCACAGGGCTCATGTTTGCTGTCAGACTCCATCATTCATACAGTGTGTTTCAATCTCCAGACATCGACGAGTGTGCGCTGCCCACCGGTGGACACATCTGCTCTTACCGATGCCACAACACACCGGGAAGCTTTCACTGCACGTGTCCCGCCACCGGATACACACTCGCTCCCAACGGACGCAGCTGCCAGGGTCAGGAACACACTCTTATCAGGAGCCCAGTGTTCATATACTGTCGCACAATACAGGAATCAGTAACACTTTACAACTGGGTTCATTAGTTAAAATTAGATAGTAATATTTATAACACAGTGATTTGTAATAATGGTTTACAGTACAATACGTTTTCAAGATTTAGCGAACTAACATGAACATGAACACTTTTATTAACTAAAATTAAGAAATGTTCATGAATGAAGTATTGTTCGTTACTACTAATGTTAACAAATGAGACCTTATTGTAAAGTGTCACCATTATAATCCAACAAACAAGACAACGTTTCATTAGTTAACATTATTTAATGTATTAACTATGAGCAATACATTTGTTACAGTGTTTATTAATCTTTGTTAATGTTAGTTCATAAAAATCCAGCTGTTCATTGTTTGTTCATGTTAGTTCACGGTGCATTAACTAATGCTAACTAATACAACCTTTGATTTCAATAACGTATTAGTAAATGTTGAAATTAACATGAACAAAGATTAATAAATGCTGTAGAAGTATTGTTCATTCTTAGTTCATGTTAACTTATGTATTTACCTAGGGTTATATACAAATTACATAATAAATAAATAAACATTAAATAATAATATTAAATAAATAATAATATTAAAGATGTATTTATTATAAATAATATTGAATAAGTAACAAATTATAATAATAATAAATTAAATTATATTTTATATATATTTATATGATATATGTCAGCTATATATATATATATACCTAAAAATGTTAATTTAATTTAAATAATTGAAAATAAACATGCAATAGGTATACTATGTTCTTTAATAAATAATATTATAAAAAATATTATTTAAATATTATATTTAATTTAATTAATATATATATATAAAAATATTTATATGTTTTTATATGTTTATTTTTATTCAGTTTTAGTAACCCTGAGTGTCAGAATTCATAAAAAATTGGTATTTTCAATTTCACACATAACGTGCATCATTTGTCATATTACACCGCTTTATGCTGTGGCAAAAGCCCTTAAAGTGACAGTTCACCCAAAAATGATAATTCTGTCAGTAATTACTCGCCCTCGTGTCGTTCCAAACCTATAAGATCTTCAGAACACAAATGAGGATATTTTTGATGAAATCTGAGATATTTCTGTTTCTCCATTGATAAGCAACTACCACTTTAATGCTTCAAAAACGTTATAAAGTGATCGTAAAACTAATCCATATGAATTATTCTGATGAGACACAATCCGCTTTATATGATGAATGACAATCAGGGTGAGTAATTAATGACAGAATTTTCATTTTTGGGTGAACTATCCCTTTAAATATGGTCAAATCACTGTAAATAAAGTGTTTTATTTAAACATAATCATCAAGACCAACACTAATACTGATGTTCCCGAGCAGATATCGATGAGTGTGTGACCGGGACTCACGCCTGCACAGAATCCCAGAGCTGCTTCAACATCCAGGGTGGATATAAATGCCTGAGCTTCGACTGTCCGGCGAACTACAGGCGCTCGGGAGACACGTGAGTGACCAAAGCAGAACCAGAACAACTCTGACCAGTTTACAACAGAAAAAGGACATTCAACAAATGCAGGGTGGAGATTGATTTTATGCTGTAGGAATTTAATCCATTTATGCATTTGGCAGACGCTTTTATCCAAAGCGACTTGCATTGCATTTCAAGGTACACATTTACATTCTTGCTTTCCCTGGGAATCGATCCCATGACCTTGGCGTTGCAAGCGCCAACTGAGCTACAGCAAAGCATAATAACCCAATTTTGAATTTCCGTTAACTTTAATATTTGTCATATCTGAGGGTCGGTTTCCAAATCTTTCCACTGAATACGAAAAAAAGAAAAAGAAAAAGAAAAAAGGAAATTTTATACAAACATTTAATAATAAATAAATATTGAAATAATAATATTACAAATAATAAGGAATAATTCATATATATATATAAAATATAATTTTCTTTTATTTATGACTATTTCAATTTATTTGAAGTAATTATATAAAAAATAATATGTGAACTATATATATATATATATCAAATCAATTAATTGGGATTAATCGCATCTAACAAAAGTTTGTAAATATTTGTATATTTATATTTGACAGCACTAAAACTTGTACTTTTTAAAATGTAAATTATATATATATTATTTAATTTAAATAATTAAAAATAAACATTTCCACTGAACATGAACAAATAAAAAATATAAAACAAAATATACGGTCTAGAAACAAAACAACAAATAAATAAATAATACAAAATTATGCAAATATTAGTGCATATATATCTTAAAGGAGTTGATGTACAGCTCAGATGTTGCAGGAAGGCATGAATATCAGAACTGGGTTCCTCACAGATCTGCTGATCACCCTGTGCATGAGCGCAATGCATGAACTGTGCACAACGTGTCATTAATACCATTAATATCCCCTACCGATAAGAGCGCAACCGTTCCGGAAGTATTTTTTCTCATTCATTTTCTCCCCCAAAAAACGTTTCAATACAAATTGAACCATGCCGGCTTGATCCGAGATCTCTGTGTAGAAAAGAAATGGGATTTTTTCCTTCCGGCTGTTGCGCTCTATTAGAGTTGTCTCGGTCTGTGCACTCCAAAAAAAAACTGCTGGGTTGTTTCAACCCAACTTTGGGTCAGATATGGACGAACAAACCCAACCGTTGGGTTAAAAAAATTTACATTAAATTTTTAACCCAAACGTTTGGGTTAGTCCTCATTTGACCGAAAATTGGGTTAAATTTAAATAAATAAAAAATTGGGTTAAAACAACCCAGCATTTTTTAGAGTGTGATGTCACTGTGAATGCTCCTCCCCCCTCAAACAAACCCCTCCCCCTAAAATCACACACTCCTCCGCATGTCGTGCACCGTTCTAACCCCTCTTTCTCTTCTCTCTTTCCCCACGTGTTTCTCTCCATCTCCCCTTCGCAGTCGCTGTGAGCGCTTGCCTTGTAATCTGACTAGCGAGTGCCTGGCCTTGCCTGTGAGAATTACCTACTACCACCTGACATTCCCCACCAAAATCCCCATTCCCACCAACATCTTCCGCATGGGCCCGTCCAACTCGGCGCTCGGGGACGACATCGAGGTGGCCATCGTGGACGGGAACCAGGGAGGCTTCTTCTCCGCCAAACGCGTGGATCACGGGGGCGTGTTGGTGGTTCAGAAACCCATCACGCTTCCTCAGGACTTTGAAATCTCTCTGGAGATGAAACTGAGGCGATTCGGACACCTTAGCGTTTACCTCTTCAAGATACGCTTGTTTGTAACCCCCGACGAGCTGAGCAACGCCATCACTGAATGAAACCAGTGTTTTATTAGCGCAGTGCTTCATTAAAGGTGCAGTGTGTAATATTTAGGAGGATCTGTTGACAGAAATGCAATATCATATACATAACTATATTTTACTTAATGAACCATTATGTTTTTATTAGCTTAGATGAGCATTTCTCTCTACACACACCGCGGGTCGCCTTATTGACATGTTTCTACGGTGGCCCTGAGCGGACAAATGCGTTTCGTCACTATGTTGTTCTTCGTGTAAAGAAGCTATAGCTAAAGTCAGCGAATAAAACACTGACACGATGATGAACAAGTATCAATAATATTCGCAATAACATATCGTTTTAGTGAATTATCAAGTAAAACTAATTTCTTAATTTATCTTTGTAAAGAATCCTAATTGCTTAACTGGCTACTCTCTGCTGTCTCAGACGACGACATCACTTCCTGTCGGCCACCTTAACTTCTGTTGGGTGCATTTCACAACCTCACCACTAGATGCTGCTAAATATTACACACTGCACCTTTAAAGTAGATGCTCCGATGAGCCTCTGGTATCTTGTCTAATGTTGCCTTCAAGTCCTTCTGGAAACCTCCCCTATTTTAATTACGACGTGATCAAGTGTTTTTAATAAAAATATTATAGTATATAAATAATATTAAGATAACACTGATACTGATTTGCCTCAGACATGAAAATCCATTTTTTCACTACTAATTGACCATTCGCTAAGCTCCGCCTCCCTCTTGGTTACTGTTGCTAACTCAGACATGCTTTGCAGAACATTTAAAAACAATAAACTGGAGAGTTCCGTGATAAATACATCATAAAAAGAGCTGAATATTACATTACATATAATATGTGTGCCTAAAGTGGTAAAAAAAATTCACACATTAAAAAAAAATATTTTCAGTGAGGAAAATATGCACATAACATGGTAGAAAAATTGCAATGAATTAAAAAAATGTATTTGCAGTTAAATATGAACATAATATGGTTAAAAATTTCACAAATTAAAATGTATTAGCAGTAAAATATGCACATAAACTGGTAAATAGTTCACAAATAAAAAGGTATTTGCAGTAAATTATGCACAATAAACGGGTAAAAAAAATTCACATATTAAAATATATTTGCAGTAAAATATCCACAAACTGGTGAAAAAATCCCAATAAATTAGTTTTTTTATTTGCTATAGATTATGCACATAAAGTGGTAAAATAAAATTACAATACATTTTTTAGAAAGTATTTGCAATAAATTATGCACATAAAGTGGTAAAGAAATCATAATACATTTTTAAAAATGTATTTGCAATAGATTATGCACATAAAGTGGTAACAAATCACAATAATAAAAAAATAATTGTATTAAAATATGCACATAAATGGTAGAAATGAATACTGAAGTGAAGTGACATTTAAAATAATTATATTATTACACAGTAAAAAATATATGTGCTGTGTTACAGTGCAGCATATTATCAGTTAAAAAGGCTTGTCTGATAATATGCTGTACAGTAACAGGTAAGGTTCGTTCATTACGTTTAGGTAAAGGACACTCTGTTCTGGCGTTCACGAGCACTCATATGATCAACCCATGAAGACTTGAAGGCAACATTATTCTCTACTTTTGTGTAACGATAGATACTGCAGAAAGCAAAGTTCCTCAGGTGTCTAATAATGGGAATATATGACCTGAGATGATGTTCTTCATGTATCAAAACTGCTGTTCATTATGTACTCTAGTCTATGACTGTATATGAAACTACTTTCAAACTGTGATCAGACGTGAGACTTGAATCAAACGTCTGTATGTTATAGGCCACTAGGTGGCGCTGTTAGGCAAAGCAAATCACAACTGGTGTCAAAATCATTTTTATTATTATATTCTATTATTTTTTAGTCTATTCTTTTCTAATAAAATTGTACGTACTTTAGCATTCTTGTATTTTATTTAAAAAATATATGTTTGGCTTTAAATATTTTTTTTTTTTATGATACAGTGGAGACATGACATGGAAAGTGGGAACGGCGGTTGGAAAATTACCACACACGTCATGTGCACTAGCCACCCTGACGCGATTTTATTAACATTTAATTAGTCATGTAGGAAGCATCCATTAATCATTGAAGTGGTTAGCTGGATAATTAGCCAGGCATTTGAACCCTTTAGCCTGTATTTAAAGGATACATTAGCCGCTAATCCACCAACATACACACAGAAACAGACGGAGCGATCTGATGACGTCGATCTTTGAAGAGAGATCTGAAAGATGCTAACGGCTAGCCAGGGTAAATATTGTTAGCTAAAACTAAAACACCATTTGCATTAGGCTACTTGAAATAAAATAAAAATTCAGCTAGTTGACCAGACAACATTTCCCATTGTCCTTTGGCTTGAGCTGAAGTACTAAAAAACTACAACAAAATAAACTAAAACTTAATAAAACCTATATAGACCATTTTTTTTAAAGGACAAAAAAACACTGATCTATATATAGAATGACATTATATAGATCAGTGACAAAAACAAAAAATACTATTTTTTTATAAATAATAAAAAGACTGAAATAACTGAAAATAATTCAAAATATTAATAAAAACTATAGGCCTAATATCAGTGATATTGTAATCAATGATAATGTTAACATCTGCTTGCTAGGTAAAACATGGTTATGCTAGTGCTAAATAATAATCGTAATGGGGATAAACAAAACATTTGAAAAGTAAAGTAAACAAAAGTTGTCAAATGTACTAACAGTATTTACAGGTTGTGAAAATGAAAAAAGTTAAAAATCAGTTTTATTTATCATATGTTTTCATATTGTTTTATTTTTGTAAAGTCATACTGTTTTGATCTCTTTGCTATTTGCGATGGTTAACATTTGGAAACATCTTGGTTGGGAAACCATCTCTACAACACTCTTGCAATAATTGAGGAATTCCCTAGCAACCACTTAAAACATCATAAGAACCATTGAGCAACACCCTAGCAACCATCTAAAACACCCTAGGAACAATCTAGCAACTCTGTAGCATCCATCTACATCACCCTAGCAAAAAAAACTATGCCATCGTTACTATATGTATCACTGTGTATCAAGTAAGCCAGATTCAATCAGAACAGACTGGGCCATCTGACCAATCAGAGGAGAGTAGACCAATCACAACAGACTGGGCCATCTGACCAATCAGAGCAGAGTAGACCAATCACAACAGACTGGGCCATCTGACCAATCAGAGCAGAGTAGACCAATCACAACAGACTGGGTCATCTGACCAATCGGAGCAGAGTAGACCAATCACAACAGACTGGGCAGTCTGACCAATCAGAGCAGAGTAGACCAATCACAACAGACTGGACCATCTGACCAATCAGAGCAGAGCAGACCAATCAGAACAGACTGGGCCATCTGAGCAATCAGAGCAGAGCAGACCAATCACAACAGACTGGGCAGTCTGACCAATCAGAGCAGAGTAGACCAATCACAACAGACTGGACCATCTGACCAATCAGAGCAGAGTAGACCAATCACAACAGACTGGGCCATCTGACCAATCAGAGCAGAGTAGACCAATCACAACAGACTGGGCCATCTGACCAATCAGAGCAGAGTAGACCAATCACAACAGACTGGGTCATCTGACCAATCGGAGCAGAGTAGACCAATCACAACAGACTGGGCAGTCTGACCAATCAGAGCAGAGTAGACCAATCACAACAGACTGGACCATCTGACCAATCAGAGCAGAGCAGACCAATCAGAACAGACTGGGCCATCTGACCAATCAGAGCAGAGCAGACCAATCACAACAGACTGGGCAGTCTGACCAATCAGAGCAGAGTAGACCAATCACAACAGACTGGACCATCTGACCAATCAGAGCAGAGCAGACCAATCAGAACAGACTGGGCCATCTGACCAATCAGAGCAGAGTAGACCAACCACAACAGACTGGGCAGTCTGACCAATCAGAGCAGAGTAGACCAATCACAACAGACTGGACCATCTGACCAATCAGAGCATAGCAGACCAATCAGAACAGACTGGGCCATCTGACCAATCAGAGCAGAGTAGACCAATCACAACAGACTGGACCATCTGACCAATCAGAGCAGAGCAGACCAATCACAACAGACTGGGCCATCTGACCAATCAGAGCAGAGTAGACCAATCACAACAGACTGGGCCATCTGACCAATCAGAGCAGAGCAGACCAATCAGAACAGACTGGGCCATCTGACCAATCAGAGCAGAGTAGACCAATCACAACAGACTGGACCATCTGACCAATCAGAGCAGAGCAGACCAATCACAACAGACTGGGTCATCTGACCAATCAGAGCAGAGCAGACCAATCACAACAGACTGGGCCATCTGACCAATCAGAGCAGAGCAGACCAATCACAACAGACTGGGTCATCTGACCAATCAGAGCAGAGTAGACCAATCACAACAGACTGGGCCATCTGACCAATCAGAGCAGAGTAGACCAATCACAACAGACTGGTCCATCTGACCAATCAGAGCAGAGTAGACCAATCACAACAGACTGGTCCATCTGACCAATCAGAGCAGAGTAGACCAATCACAACAGACTGGTCCATCTGACCAATCAGAGCAGAGTAGACCAATCACAACAGACTGGGCCATCTGACCAATCAGAGCAGAGTAGACCAATCACAACAGACTGGACCATCTGACCAATCAGAGCAGAGCGGACCAATCAGAACAGACTGGGCCATCTGACCAATCAGAGCAGAGTAGACCAATCACAACAGACTGGGCCATCTGACCAATCAGAGCAGAGTAGACCAATCACAACAGACTGGGCCATCTGACCAATCAGAGCAGAGTAGACCAATCACAACAGACTGGACCATCTGACCAATCAGAGCAGAGCAGTCTGACCAATCAGAGCAGAGCAGACCAATCACAACAGACTGGGTCATCTGACCAATCAGAGCAGAGTAGACCAATCACAACAGACTGAGCCATCTGACCAATCAGAGCAGAGTAGACCAATCACAACAGACTGGGTCATCTGACCAATCAGAGCAGAGTAGATCAATCACAACAGACTGGACCATCTGACCAATCAGAGCAGAGTAGA